CCCCCGCGGTATGCCACTACGTCCTAACCTAACTCGGTCACAGCGACGACTTCCGTGGACATCATCCCTCCAAGCGTCTCTCACCCTCGCACTCGTCAACCCCTTCCTATGGTATCTCATCGACCGTTCCAAACCGGGTTTCCTCCTCTCCGCCGCGGTAGGGTTGGTGGGCTCAGCCGTGCTTTTGGGCGTCAACCCCGATATCATGCCCACGCCGTCGGTAATGCCGCACCGGAACGCATCCGCCAGCGAGATACACGAGGTGCCGCTGAGCTTTGGCGGCTTCGCGAAGAGGGAAACGGTCGAGGCGGGGATTTGGATGCTGAGTGTCTTGTTCTGCAGCTGTGTGTGCTTTGGAAACATCGGGCGGAGGTTGGCCTTGAGCAACCAGCCTACTACCAGCCAGGGGCGGTTAGCGTGAGTTTGCCCTCGGGCTAACTTGAGCAATGTTTGCCTTGCTCTTTACCCTACCTATAATACAGTACCGCCTTTTAATTATTATCACTATACCTCTCAATTATTCCGACTGTTGTGGTGGTTATTGCTTGTCGGCGTTGTTGTCTGTTGTCGTTGTGATTAAAGCTACCTCGATCATTACTATTGCCTTCTTGGCATCATGACTACACGTATTGTTCTTCTTCTTCTTCTTATGGTTTCCCTGCTTGCCAAAGATTACAGTGTCGGTCATAGCCTAGGGGACAGGCAAGGAAAGGGGTGAAGGATGGATAGGGATAAGCCGTCTATCATGCGCTTGCATTCTCCAGTGAACTCGTGTTCGAAAGGGGACATCTCTGCTTCTTCTGTGAGCCACTATAATACAATGCCGTGAGTCGGGAAACCTGGTGTCTGGTTTGGATGCCCCAACATCTTTGGTCTATCGTTAACTGAAGACAGGATCTTGTAGCTGTTGTTTCTCCCGCCTAGCTAGTAGGCAGGTAATGACGCAAAGAGGCAAGAAGCCAGACAGAAAAGCAAATTGTCTGTTGTTTAGCATGCATATAAGAAAACTCCCGATTCCAGCCATGGCAAGTTTACCCAGAGGCTAAATCGACGAAAATGTGCAGTGTCGTCACCCGTCCCACGCCCACGGCGTAGGTTCAAGAGGCCATAACTCGGGTCAGGTTTCTACCTTGGTTCGTATTACATAGTAACAAACGGGGAGATAATGGCCGGGGCTGAAGTGCCCTGTCTTAAGTGAGGTAGGCCGGTACGAGGTAGCTGCGGTATTGCTTGGCTGGCTGGCTTCTGGTAGTGTATGTACATGGGAGGAGGTTCATGCGGAGTACATGTATGTCATCACGATACAGTTCCTCGCGGCAGGCTAAAGCCACCTACCTGGTACCCTAGGTAAGGTACATACATACCTGAGGCTACATAGGTACCTAGGATATCACGCACCAAGCAAGGTATCCGCCGGCTGTCCGACTCGCAAGTCTCTAATAAGGTACTGGCTGCCTTTACCTTCAGTGCTCGAATTGTAGTTCGTAGAGAAGAGGTTTTTGGACGCAGTTGTGTACGTACAAGGTCAATCAATAAGGTAGACTCACTGGCCATCTCGCCGGCTACAAGCTACAAGACAGGGCAGGATCTGGCCGTTTGACCGTTTGAACCAAGCACGCTGGTGGCACGAGTATTCCCCTGGCGTTTGAGTGGGGGTAACGCGGTAATAAGCATTGACTTTGGGGTGGCGACAGCTCCAGCTGCGCAGGAGGAGAGATTGTGGCTCCAGCGGAAGTGCATGTCGTCAGAGAATTGGACCAAGTCACACGTGCAGCAGGTCCACTAGACCCTTTTTCGCCTTACTTTTTATGTTATTTTGTGAGGGTGGAAGTACGTACATCTAAAGTATAGTATACTAAATAGTACCCTACAGGTACCTAATGAGTAATTGTAGTAAGTACCTACTTACTTGTACTTTAGACAGTGCGAAATAGGTAAGCTAAGGTACCTTAGCCTGAAAGAATGATGGAATGACCCAAGGACCCTCACTCTGGACAGACACTTTGTAATTACGACTTGGAATAGAGAGAAGAAGGGGAACTACATTATGTATTATTCTTATTCGCAGCATTGATTGTGATCGAGGCGCCAAAGGGCGTTCCGGAATCGGGTCACGCCATGCATCCTTGACTCTTCTTCCATGATTGACCTCATCATTATTTTCCCCTAGTTTTTTTCTCTTCTTTTTTCTGTTTTCCCCCCTCCTCGACCTAAGGTACATACAGACTTCGTACTTTGTACACACCAATATTAACTAAGGTATCCCGTATCTATTTCCCTTTGGTCGGTATCCCCAAGCAGATGCGGCTGCCATCGTGAATCACCTTGCTGATCGGAATGCTGTTTTTAAATGTATGATTTCACCACTAGCCGCGCCCTCTGAATCCCCTCATCCCTTCATCCCTAAAGAGATTCGCCCTCCATGATCTTTCTCGCACTCCTCCCCCGCCATTTCCCCACATCGCCCGTACCTGTAGACCACTGATTCGACTGGTCCTCCGTTCTCTGCAGGACCCTCGATCCATACATACCTACGCCTTACAGCGAACCACCAAATCTTCGATGCTCAGTGTCATGGCATCCTTTGCCCGTCCCATTGACTTTTGCGCACCTCCTGCCGTTATCCCCCCCCCCCCCCTTTTTTTTTAGTCAACTTTAATCTCGTCCTGACGCTGCTCTTTTCACGTTCTACTCTACAATCTACCCCACGGTCTCCCATGATCATTTCCTTCTAGTCTACTTCCACATCCCTTCCACTTCCCATATCAACCTGCTCCGTTCTCACCATACTGCGGATAGGTACATATGCGCTCGTCTCTGCGCTCGCCTTCCCCCTTCCCCTAAGGTTCCTGGCATATCACCTCCCAGTCCCAGGAGCTGTCTGCCATCCGATTCCCCCGGGCTGTTTCTACCTCCATATATCTCTCTGGCCGGGCCTGTGCTTTTACATCATAGACACAAAGCTTGAGTGGACGGCGCACTTCGAGCATTTGCACTCAGATCGGCGGCACGAAACCACTGACCAGGTCGCTTGAATAAGCCGAGAGTCACTTTCGACCTGGTGGTCACAACGCGCCACCTTGCCGACGTCCCTTTCATACGCAGCTTCATACACATCTTGCCTGTCGCGTTTCCACTCCATCCTCCACCTCCCCGATCTGATCCACTTTATCCCACTGGGACTATTTACACGTTGCGAAAATCGCCCATCCTGGCTTCTTTGCGCTGGTCGCCTAAAGACGGCGGTGCCTCACACGGCCCGATGACCTCAGACCAGTCGGCGGTCCTAGAGTGCAGACCATCGGCCCTTACCTCCGAGCCACCTGGCGAAACCGAGCCCCAGGACGGGAAGGACCATGGGACGCCGGGCTCATTTTTCTTCGCTGATCAGATCCGCGGCATTGTCCGTCTGATTCAATGTAAAGAATGCTTCTACCCGCTTCGCGAGCCCGTCACCCTGCCATGTGGTAGGAGCCTTTGTCGAAGCTGCCTGCCGGAATCTCGGACTCGGGAGCACATCACTTATCCCGCACTACCCAGCAGGCTTCAAGGCTTCAGCTGCCCTTTCCCGGAATGCGGAAGGGAACACGCTGTGGGCGACTGCTCGACGGATGTCGTCCTCTCCAAGGTTATTGACCACTTCAAGGACGTGATGGACCGGGCCAAGGCCGTTGCGGCTACCGGCGAGGTAACCACGCACGTCATGAGTAAGGACCCATGGGTAGTGGCCGGCGTGGGTTCCTTGGCCGAACACAAAATCAGATCGCGAGTTGTCCCTGGAGGTCGGCTTCTTGCCACGTACTCTATGGTTGAGGCGGGCGAACTGGAATACGAAACCGAGGCGTCCTATTGCGAAACCTCTTCCGCCGGTGAAGAGGCGGCACTGCGGGCCGACCATGTCCTCTTCACCATGGTTAAGGAGATCATTCGGACCGAGATGGACTGCCAGATCTGCTACGCTATCTTTCACGACCCCATCACCACCGTGTGCGGTCACACTTTCTGCCGCAGATGCCTTCACCGCGTACTCGACCACGCGCTCTTGTGTCCTATCTGCCGGAGGGGACTGTCGATTAGCCCCTTGCTCCACCGGCAGTCATGCCCTCCTAATCATTGCCTCTCCAAAATCATCGACGTCTTCTGGCCCGATGCCGTCGAGGCCAGGGAAAATGCCCTGCTTTCCGAGGTACTGAATGGGCACCGCGACTTCGACATCCCGCTTTTCATTTGCACTCTGGCCTTTCCTCTGATGCCGACCTTTCTCCACATCTTCGAACCACTGTATCGACTCATGATTCGACGCGCATTAGAAGGCAACAGGATGTTTGGTATGGTACCCCCCAGCCTTCCACATCGCGCCAACGACATGCCTTTCATGCCCTGCGGCACTGTGCTGCGCATCGTCAATGCCGAATACTTTGAAGATGGTCGCAGTCTCATCGAGACGGTAGGAGTATCTCGCTTCAGGGTGCTAAGGCATGGTATATTGGAGGGGGGGTATACGGCTGCCAAGACCGAGCGAATAGACGACGTGAGTGTTGCCGAAGAAGAGGACAGAGAGGTGGCCGAGACGCAATCCCGGATCGGGAGCACAGTAGAGGACTCTCTGTCCGAGCCAACCAGGGGACCTAACACGGCAGGTCTTACCTATGCAGCGGAGAGTCTCGACAGGATGCCGACCCGTCAACTCCTCGACTTCGCAATCGCTTTCGTCCGCCGCATGCAACAGAAGAGCGTGCCGTGGCTGGCCAATCGCATCTTGGCCATTTACGGAGAATGCCCGGACGACGGCGCACGCTTCCCTTGGTGGTTTGCTAGCATCTTACCGGTCAAGGACGCCGAGAAATACAGGCTCCTCGAAACCACGAGCGTACGGGAGAGGTTGAAAATCTGCTGCCACTGGGCTATCGAGTGGGAGTCGACGAGTTGGTAAGCAAGTAAGCCCATCGAATTTCTTATCGAGATTCAACCCCGCCCCCGACACGCTCAATCCTTCTGCGAGCTGTCGCTGGGCTGGCCTTGGTCTTTAGCCTTTCGGCCCGGGTGACTATAGCTCAGAACGCATTCACGTTAATCTCTGTCATGAGCCACCATCTCTCTCAGGAGCCATCTTGCTGACCACACAATCCAGGCCCCTTCGCGGTTGCAGGATTCACCCAATCTCTGAATAAACATCTGGCGCCGTCATTTCGAAGCGGAGGCACATTTTTTGTTTCGTTATTCCTCAGTTTGCTTTGCAACCGCATTACCGCATTCTATTGTCTCGCTTCTCGAACGATGATACATACTTTTCGGAGAAGAATGGATATAAAATATAAGACGACACGCAGGAGAGATGACGAGACAGAAACATTAGACGAGAGATACAGCATATATTGTCCGTTGTGTGGAAGAAGACATGGTCAAGGAGAGAAGAAGAGAGAACGAGGCCAAGACCTCAATATGTTTTGGATAATGACGACGATGATGGATCATTTGCAGCGGGTTTCAAGACTTCATACCCCTACGCAAGTGTTGCACTTGCATTACGCATGTAGGGTTCCAGCTGCATATGCATTGGTATTTTTCTTCCTTTGTATCCGATCTTGCCCTTGAAGATACCAAATTTGGGACGGCAGCATGTTTCCTTAGGCACCTAGATAGCTCCCCTGGGGAAATTGTCATACAACAAGGGATGGTCGACTTCAGCGGCGGCGAGAGTAACCAAATAAATAGCATTCAAACAGGAACTTGACGGTAACAACGCATTGAATTAATGTTGAGTCGCAAGGGACGCCGGTAAAAGGGTATCAACTCTTCCTTGTCTATCTCCTGAGCTATGTATGCTGTTATCACGATGTCTCCCAATGCTTGCCCTCACCATGTCTGAAATCCCAGGGTACCTCGCTATAGCTTCACGGGTCGAGAATCACCGTTCGGGTCGTCGAGTATCCGTATTCGTATTCGCTTATGCCTCTATCGGCTGTTGTTCCTCCACTACCTCAGCTACTTCTTCGCCAACTGTAACGTTGCGTCGGTGCCGTCACCGCCGCTCGCCGCCGCCTCTATTTCTAAAGGGGCATCTATCGCAATGGCAGCAGCAGCTTCAGCCGGCTTGGCTCCTCGGCCATTCCGCCAATTCCGGCAGCCCGGGACGCCGGATTTCGTTCATGATCATTTTACGCGAGGCTCTGGGATGATCTATCGCTTTCCCCGTTTTGGCCGTCATTCTGATCTTCTTCTGTCGGACTGGCGCCGAAGATAAACTTCTCGAGATTCGTGCAAGTAGTCTCCAGCTCATCGTTGACGAGGACGAGATCGCAACCTTCTTTCAGATTCGAGTCGTCGGCCAGATAAGGGGTTGCGGCTTTCAGCAGGGACTGAATGCTGTCATCGTCTTTATTACCGGCCTTCTTTAGCCGCTCCTCCATGACCTCCTTACTGGGCGGGAGAAGGAGGACGAAGCGCGCATCGAAGCCCAAGTCCCGGACTTGCCGAGTCCCCTGTGTTTGTATTGTTAGTAAAATCGTACCGCCTGCGCGAACTATGTTGGTGTTGTAAATCGTGGGAGACGCGTTACCTCTTGATCCAAGTGGAGTACCGGCACTTTGCCGCCGTTCGTGATGCCCTCGACGACTTTTCGACTCGTGCCGTAGTCGACGTCTCCCGCGGTAGTGTACTCCAAAAGGACGTCCCCGTCCCTCAGCATGCCGAAGGCCTGCTTTTCGATGAAGTGAAAGTGTTCCCCCCCTATTTCTCCTTCTTGGGGCTTTCGTGTTGTGTGTCGGCCTACCCGAACGAATGCGCCCGGACGCCGCTCCGCCAGGAGATTCGTCATAACTGTCTTCCCAACACCCGATGGGCCCGTGATGACGATGGGTCGCTGATCCTTGGGTACATTGTCCTTCTGGACAACATCCTCAGCATCAACGGGGTCGGCATCGGGGTCTTCCAGTTCTTCGAAGATGGGATCAATTTTCTCGGGATCGCTGATCTTATCAAAGAGTCCAAGTTTCGTCTTCGCCGCGATTCGCAATGCCCGCCAGCTTTTGCTTGCCTTGGCCTCGATAGCCGCTGCTTTCGATTCCTCGCTCGTGGGCATTTCAATCTCGAAATCATCGTCCGCGATCTTTCGTCTAAAGCTGTCGAGTTCCGGAAGCTCATACCTGCCGGCAGCCTTGAGCCTCGCCAGCGCTTGTTGGTCATCGCCGTCCTCCATAAAATTAAGGGGGAGGGAACCCATGGGCGGGCGCAAACGCTTGTTTCGACACAGGCGATGGAGCTCTTCCTGTGCAGTAGCCCATGTTTGCGCTGGCAGAGGCGGCAGTTCGATCGACGGGCAGTTCCCGGCCTTCCAACGGACCCAGTTCTTGTCCCTGGCAAGAACAGTATCGACCATCCGGTGGAATTGGGGACCGTCATCACCAAATTTGAGACTATCCTCGACGGTTCTCTTCATGTCCATTGCCCATTTGACCTGGAGGCATGTCAGCGTCGATAGGGGTTGTTAGTGGGTATCAAGATGCTACTTACATCCTCGTCACTCAGAACTTGGTCGAGATACATCACCGACTTGTTCGGCGTCTTGATAGAGGCCAGCTTTTCTTTTGCCTTGGGGGAGAGATAGAGCAAGAATTCGGTGATGATGAAGGTCTGAACCAGGATATGCCTCCGAAATGACAAGTCGCTGATCTGCGAGAATGTTAACAGCCGAGAATTGAAGGGCGGGGAAGCAGACATACCTCTAGCTCGAACAAGTCGCGGCTGGTGAGATACTTCGGATTGAAAGCGCTGGCCAAGTCTGATTCCGCATCAGGCTCGCGTTTCCTCTTAAAGCTCGCACTGCTCTCGCCGGAGCCTTTGGGGGGGCTCGCCTCCTGTTCATCCTGCACGGCTTTGAACATCTTCATTGTCGCTTCCAGGCCCCGCTTGAACCCTGATAGGCTCTCGGCATCGAACAGCTTCTTCGGCTGGCTAAAGGTCTTCTGTAGTGACCAGAATATTGGATAGAGCACGTCTGCCTTTATCGGTTGGTCTTGAGGCGCTTGTTTTGTGGAATCAAAGGTCACCGCCTTCCCTTGAGAAGTTGAGACTTTGTCGATTTCCATTTTGTCCTGGGTTTCCTCTGGTGCCGGCTCCGACTTGTCGTATGTAGTGACATTCTCGACGTGGTATTCACCCCGAAGATTGACGGAGCTTCTGTCGCCGAGGGGAAAGCTCTGGAACATGAATATGAATACTCGGCCACAGAATGCCGTGTCCTCTGCGCGAGAAAGTCGGCGAAGGAGTTCATTGCAGCTTCGGAGAATGACCAAGTGTTTCTGCTTGAAATGACTCGAGGTTATTCTTTCGCGTCGCGACTCGAGATAATCAAAGACCTTCTGGCACTGGGCGATAGTCTGGCTGTCGAGCATCTCTTCTATCAACCAGAAGAGGAGAGCGGGGTCGCAATGTTCATCGTCGGAAAGAATCGACACGAGATCCAGCAAATTCCACAATTGTACAAACCCGGGAGAATCGATTGCAGTGGTAGCCTGGACAGAGGGACACATTAGTTCCAAACAGCCTGGATAGGGGATTATGAGGGCTTGGATCTTACGATCAAGTGGTCGAATAGGCTGCGCACGGCGGTCTCGATGACTGCGAACTGTCGCGTCTTGTCCTTCTTCGGCGAAGTATCTGCTATACCATTTTCTTGGTCTCCAGGAGCGTCGCTCCTAAACATGGCCGAGATGCGCCCATCAAGATCCCCAAAGTCAGACTTGTGGAGTGCCGGGTCGATAGAGGCGGGTTTGGTCTGGCTGGCATGTGTGAGGAGATCGTCAAGCAGGACAGCAAATTCAGTTACCGCGGGAACGCGGTCACTGTGTGCAATAATTGCACCCGGCATCTTGGATTGGAGCGTGAGGAAAGAGAGCTTCGGATGGGATTTCTCGGTGACTGGCGACTGGTCGCGGATGTCGCAAGACGAGACGCAGTCATGTGTGGTAGGGTGCTCTGCGAGGCAGGTATAGAGCTCGAATTCTACCGTAGGTGCTGAGTTTAAGATATTTCGCGAGTTGAATTCGAATGCGGACCCGGTAAGCTGCCGTGACTTGAACTGCGGTTGAGTAAGGTAGGTAGTAGAGTTGAGACGGTTTGTCCATTGAGAAACAAGGCTGACCACTGTACGGACTACCTGTCGAACAGACCACAGTCTTTTCGGTTACGTAATGGGCCGGATTGCTAAGAGTATAATCCGGGTGGACGCTTGCAGAATCTGCACTATATAAAATACGGTGGTAGCGTTTCCCTGACGGTCTGGGACAGTTATAATTATACATAATTGCCTTAATAAATTTTGACCTATTTTGTAATAATTTTGACTACGCTTTATCTAATAATTAAGAGTCTTACTTACTAAGTGAAGATATACCTATTTTACCTACCCTTTTACTACTACTACCGATTTAAGAAGCTATCTAGCTACGCCGATATAGTGGGTTAATCTATAAATAACTATTAAGATATCATATCTTAGCCTTATTCCGTATAAAACCTATAAGGATTAGGAGCTCTAGCGACGCCTATACGAATCGGTTACTACCTATAATAACGTGTAGAGGTTTCTCCTGTCAAATGGGTAGTCGCAAAGAGTGAAAAGGTAGGGTCAAGCAAGGAACCAGGTATAATCACGATAGGATCACAATAGGGTCTGAATGTGGGTATAGCCAAAGAATTAGATTAATCGCTGGCCTCCCTATCTAAAGGGGAGGCTCCTCCGCCCCTTAAGACTACGTTCCGCTGCTCCTCGAGGACTGCTTATTTGCTTCCTCGAGGGCTGCCTTATTTGCTTCGAGGGACTATTCTGTTTACTGTGTGATAACTGCTTTATTTATACCTCGGGGGGGCTTAGACTAGCCATGCCTAGACCCCTATGGGTTTATACTAGGGACCCTTTATAACCACTGCTATAGGCACCTAATATAGCGACCTCCCCCGGATACTCCTGTCCTTAGGAGCGCCCGATCCGTGCCGGCCTCGCGGCTCCTCCGCTACTTAGCCTCCGCGCCCGTCTCTAAATCCCTTCGACGCCCTAAACCAGAGCCTTCCACGACGGGACCCTGATAGGTCCCCGCCGGGTTCCTATAAGAAGCCTCCCTCGGCCATGGCTCTAACTCGGGTATATACCCCCTCTGTCCGTAAACTAAAAACCACTAAAGCTAAACCGCTAAAGCTAATATCCTAGTCGGGCTCCTAATAGGTTTTAAGGTGGTTTCTTCCCGGCCCTTCGGATTTACCCTTTTATCCTTCTGGGTTATCCCTTTTATCTATCTATAAAGACTCTCTTGCGTGGTATTACGTGGGGCCCGATATTACTCCTTCCGTGAATTTCGTAGCTTCCTTCTTTATGCTAAAAATAGATACTTATATAACTGCTTTTTAGAGATATCTCGTAACCTGCCGTTATTCCCTCTTCCTATTCTTTTCTTCCTCTTCTATACTTAATTTTCGATTATACTATTCTTCGTGAGTTTTCCCCTAATCTAATATACTATATACTAACGTCTTATAGTCTTCTATTAATTAACTACTATCTTATAAGTGCTTCCCCGTCTTTAATCCAGGATACTAGCTAACTATAAGATATAGTATAGTCACTATACCTTCTTAGGAAGATAATAATAATAAATGCGCCGCTACTCTCGCGAGTATAACGCGGTCCTTTAAACGGATTAAGATTATAGTTACGGTATTAACCTCGTAGTCCGCTAGGCAGTTAGCCCCGTAGCTAGCTACGCTAGAGCCTCCTGCTCCTACTACGGCTATATCGTCGTCGACTACTACGTTATTAGTTACTCCATGCTAGAGGGTAGTGGATATCGGTATAAGCGGGGATCTAAGGGCCCCCTATATACGTTATACGGGTAAACTAGTAGCGATTAATTTTAAAGAGAAGACATATACTATCGAGGCCGTGACCTATTGATATACCGATAACGGTTAGCATACTAATAAGTATCACTACTACTCTAAGCATAATAGCCTAAAGTGCCGCGTAGTAAGTTATATATCTTTATTACCACTTAATCCTTATAGTCCCTTCCTTCGTGGATTACTCCGTGGTCCTATTAGTCTAACACGTATAATAGCTTCCTATTACTGGTAAGAACGCTACCGAGTAGCTATAAAAGGTTTTAGTTATCGCTATCGATAAAGGTCGCCTAAGTAAGAGTCGCCGCGTGAGTATTACTATATCCCTTCGTTAATCCTGTATAGTACCCTTACTAATCCTGTATAATACTAATACTAGGCTATAGTAGTTTAATGCTAGGTTATTCTTAAAGGGGCTCTAGGTTAAGCGACGCTAGAGGTTAACCGGTTATCTACTAAGGAAGCTATAGCTACTCGGCATTAAGCTAAGGAAGTTACCGACGCCCGTTAGAAAACGGCGGAAGATATCTATAAGAGGCTTAATAGTATAGAGTCGATCCTTAAATAATTCGTTAGGCTATAGTAGTAGCGTTTAGCCGTCGAGTAGAAACGGTTCGATATTAAATAATAACGCCTTACGTTGCACGAGCGCGACCTCGCGGCCTAGGAGCGGACGGCTACTGCTTTTAAGTAGATAGCTACTCTTAACCTAGCCTAGGCTTAAGTCTAGGAAGACCTCCCTACACCCTTAGGGCCTGCCTTAGCCCCCGCGGGGGTTAGCTTTATAGGCGACGATATATTTAGTAACAGTGGCTCTACGTAACCTTAAGGCTTTATACCATAAGGTCCCTAGGGTCCCCCGGATCCTTACGAAGTGCCCGACGATAACGATATAGTGCCGGCCTTATTAGTGAAGAAGGGCAAGAAGGCTTTAACGCCCTGAACTCCTTTATTAGGGAAGAAGAAAAAGAAGTAGTAGAAGGCGAAGACGCCTTTATCTTTTCGGCCTTTGATACTATCCGCAGGTGGTGGGTAAGAGGGGGTAACGGCTACTACCGCGGGGCAGAGCTAGGTATATATAAAGGATAATAACAGCGAGGTAGCTAGGCGGGAGCCTACCCCTTTAAACGATAAGTTAGTAGGGTTTAAGGACGCCCTAAAAGGGCCGTGATAGTATATATAGAGAAATAGTTATTTTTTTTCTAGGTTTTTTACTAGCCTTCGGGTTCGGTTTTTCCTTTTTTTTTTTTCTAGCTTTGGGGTATTCCTATTATAACCCTACCGGTCCCTAACTATACTTCTATTATAATATAATCGTGTCCTTATCGTGACTGTTAATTAAGGGAATAGTAAAGGGAAATAAACTTTAAGAGCGATAAGCTATTATACCTAAGGAATAAGAACGGGGTCGGGGGCGGCGTTATACCCGAAATATAGAAGAATAGTAAATAAGGCGACGACTTCTAAAAGGAAAATAAAGATTAAGAGTAAAGCGCTTAAAAGGAAGAAAATAGTAACCGAGGCAATAATACCTATATAGTTCCCGTCTAGATTAAGGGGGGGTCCCTGCCCGAGAATTTATCTCTATAATCTATTAAAGGGTTTTACTAGGTTAATATAGTCGATTCGTGGACCTTTACCTTTATTAGATCCTTATCGGGGATAGTGTATAGTCCTATATAGTCCTTAGTAAGTCTTGCTTATAAAAATACCGTCCGTAGGGGGGGAATATATAATAACAACCTTATATTATCCTTATCGGGTCCCCTATAGGAATAGAGTGGGAACCCACTTAGTTCCTGGATAGTCTCGCTTTAAAGTAGGCGTTAACGAGTTTATCGGGGATATTCCGTTTCGGCTCCTAGGTATTCTCCTCGTTGCTATACCCTACCTATTTAATTAGGTATTAACGTCGCTTACCCTAATATCGGTGGGCTAGGATAGCTTTAACCGTATACTTATCAGAATCTGGTTCGACGTTAACCACGGGTAGCTCCGGCTATAACCTATCACGGGACCTCTATAGTTTTAGCAGGGAAACCGGAAAAACGTTATAAATCCTTATACCCTTTAGCAGTCCTAATTAGTAGGCTAGGCTATACATGCTAACGATTTTAGTCACCTTATATAGTCTGATAAACTTATCGCTAAGCTTTTTCGACGGCCTTTTCTATCGGATATTCTTCGTGGATAATAAGATATACTTATTTACCTTAAAGGAGCGCTAGGTATAACCATTATTATAGTACCGTTCGTAGGAAGCCTACGCCCTCTTAATAAGATCCGAAATAGACCGGCGCTAGGCTATAAGGTATTCCGCCCGGGTCTCGGCTTCGGCGGCGCGGACCTTGCCTACCCTCGGAAGCTATACTTTATTCGGTCCCTTTGGGTTATAGCCTATTAAGGTATCGAATAGGGTATAACGTATCGTAGAGTACTACGCTATATTATAGGTGAATTCTGCTAACGGTAGCTAGTTAACCTAGTTATCCTATTCCTGCGAGTAGAAGACGCGAAGATAGTACTTAAGGTTCTGGTTCTACCGCTCCGTCTATCTGTTAGATTACGGGTACTACGCTATGGATAGACGTCGTGTAGTGCTAAGGCACCGATATAAGGTTACCTAAAAATAACTTATAAATAATAAGCCTTAGTCTAATATAATACCGTTAGACAGGCTAAAAGTGCGAAAAACATGATACTATAGGGACTTAGTAAGTCCCTTAACCGTTAGGCCACTATTTATAGGGATATAAATAGAGTACTTTATTAGACGGTATACTACGACGAGGATAGTATCCCTTTTCCTATCTATAGCCGCGCCTTAAACCGGCGGTAGCCCCGTAATAAAGTTAATAGATATCTTTATAAAGGGGCGCTAAGGTATTAAAAGACTCGCTAGTTCGCTATATAGCTTATAATACCGCGGCTTAGTGCGTTAATAGATAGTATAGGTGGGTATAAACTACCGGATATCCTTAGGTAAATAATCCTAGAAGTAGAAGTCCGAAATCCTCTTAATAGTCCTTATAACCCTATAGTGTCCTACGCTGGGTCTATTATAGAAATACTAAAGGACTTTCTAACGGAGACTAGAGTAGTCTAGTATAAAAACGCGATTCTTAAAACGAAGGATACTATTACTCCGAGACTAATATCCGTATATAGTATCGTTACTATAGGCCTCGCGCTATCTAGTATAAAAAGAGTTATCCGC